CAAAATTAACCAATTTTTAAAATAAAACATATTTTAGGGGTTGTACACTCCATAAAATTTATATGTAATGAAAATGAAAAACATAAGAACAATTTGCAAAAAATACATGTTTAAAGATGAAAACTACTGAATATTTTCTTCTAATAATTAATATTACCTCTGTTTCGAACTTTGCAATTTTTTGTCACCCTGTATAGCATCAAAGTGTATAATAGACATTTTCTTAGTAAATATGACTCACTTTTAATGTAAATACTAGTTTCGAAAAGAAATAGTAAGTTTATGCTACAAAAATCATTTTGGCCACGAATTTGGAAAAAATCCCCCCTGTGCGGCGCGGTGAAGTGACGAAATTCATATCGGAACACTTCGGCAAACTTCGGTAACGGTATTCACAAACCGATTGTGCGCCGGAGCGTGCGTGTCAAAATATCTGTTTTGCTTTTGCATCAAACTAGAGAACAAGAAGTGTTGGAATTTTGTTTAAAAAAAACGCATTTTGACGAGTAATGGAATTCTTCACTAAGTTTAAAAGTTCATAAAACTTTTCTTTAGACATCCTGAAGTATTTAAAAAACTTTTTTGGGTCACGCTTTAAATCATCAAATAAATGGTGAAATTCCCCAAGCGGATCTCTCTTTCTATTAATTCCGTGTACCCAACAAGACTTTTATTTTTTTCTCTTGCTCTTCTGCATGTAACAACGCAGAGAAAACGAAAGTATCTTCGTCGGAGGAAGAACTACTTGACATTTTGCCGTTTCGATACCTACTGAAAAGTCTCGCTGCGCTGCCTAAAGTGAGCGTGCAAACTCAAATGACGCGCCGCAAAGCACAGCGTCGCGTCGCCTAAGTGAGCGAGAAGCTTTAAAGTTATCTATTGATATTTTGTCGAATTCGGCCTCTTTGATGAGATAAACGCAATTTTATTAGTCATAATTAATAAAACTAAAATAAAATTAATAAATTATATATTTTACCTAATTTGTTATTAAATATTATTACTATTAATTCGACATATAGCAATTTCAAATAAAAAAATGGTATTTAAGATAATTACGAAAACCTAATATTAAAAAGTTTTAACGTCCTGTAACTCTAAAACTATGTATTTCCATATTCATGTTTATAGGAACTTTTTTTCATATTTTTTAATGAGGAATCAATGAGTGCTTATTTAAAACTTACACAAATTAATGATATTACATTATTTTTAAAAGTTCCGAATAGACTTGGACCAAGGCAAATTAATAAAATTGCGTTTATCTCATAAAGGAGGCCGAAATCGACAAAATATCAAGAGACAACTTTTAATCGGCATTAAAGTGCTTACACTATTTCACTAACAAGAGAAAAGAAGTGGCGTAGGTACATTCTTTTTTAAAATAATATTCTAGTGATGACCCATATGCACGTCCCTGGTGAATATGTCGACACTTTTTTAGCTTTAAAATATGTAGCATTTATAGTAAATTTTACCTTCAAAATTTCATTCGAAACGGTAACAGTGCTTGGAAGAAAATTATAATAAATCGAAAAAATATTAAGACTAACACTCTGTAGCTACGAAACAAAGCAGAATCGGGCCTATGTTTATATGTAAAGTAAATAAATCTTATTTTTACGTGAGGAATCTCCTCACGAGAGATGGCACAACGTTTTTTGAAACATCCTGTATAATAGAGAAAAATTGACAAAAACGTAAGGCGAAAAAATATGCAAAAAAATTCCACCCGGGCTCCTCCTTACCTCTCTGGTCTAGTCGTAGAACTAGGGATGCATTATTCGAATCGATTTTAATCGAAGATCGATCTTCTTGCCCAAAATATTTTTTATCAAACGATCTTTTGGTAGAATCGATCTTTTTTCAAAATCGAAGATCGATTTTATTTATACATTTTTACAGGTTTATTTATTTGTTAGAATCTTTGAATAAGAAGACTAAGGAAGGAGCATATCAAAAATCTTAGGTACACCGCGATGAGCCTCAAATATGGCCGACTTAAATTGCGGTTTATCAGTGTCGTTCTAATTTTATTTAAAAAATGTAAAACTATGATGTAGGGTAGACGTGGGGTAGACTCAATAATTTGTTGTTTTATTTTACGTTGTGAATAAATGTTGGTAGTTATTAAAATTGTTATAAAAATATATAATTCTAATAAAAATAGATAAGTTATAATAAGTATTTATTACCACAAACATCCGATACGCTACTGAAGCAGGTAAGTCAAATTAACGTATCTAAATTCTTTGACATCTAATCTTTGACAAGTAATAAATAAAAGCTAAAATGCAAAAAAAATATATAATTTAGTTAATTTAAGTGAATTTCATAAATGATCGGTTTACTACACGTATGTATATTATATAGTCACTTACTAGTGAAAAGTTGTTCCATTATTTCACTCAATTTTTGCCGAAATCTACTGCACGCTACACAACCAACTATTTTAGAGTCTTTTTCGATAAATCGCGATAGTGTCACTGTTAATTTAAGTGCTGCCACAATTTCCATCTAGATTTACTACCTTTATACAACTATCAGTAGTAGAATAAATAATAAATAACATAAAATAAGCTCCGTAAAGACTGACAAATCCCGAGAACGATAAACTAATAGGATTGCTCATCCTCATAAGACGTACGTTCGCCTCTTCCCGCGCTTCAGCTGACAGTTGTGACGTCATTGTAGCCCTTGTCAAAGCCTTCGTGGCCTTGTCATGATAGTGTGTATTATTAGTTGCCTATGGTAAACTTATAAAAATAACAGCTGAGAAATTTTCAGTTAATTATTTTGTTAATTTTAAATATGAAAAAGGTGTCTTTAAAGTTTTTAGAGCTATAGAGTGTATAAATACGTTCATTTTGTGTTGTGGATTGTGACAAAGTGCCCACGATTTTGTTTATTAATTATTTTAAAGCAAAATATGGAAGTACTTTAAAAAGAAAGCTTGCAAAAGGTGATGCTGGGAACTGCTGTTCTTAAAAATGCATTATCCGAGTATTTAATACGATTTATACAGTTAATTTTCTATACTGCATACATATAAGGTGTTTAAATAAATAAACTAAATAATGAACGTTTTGCATTCGGTAACCAATAATGCACGTGTGTGTATTATTGGTTGCCGGATAAGGACTAATAACCATGACAAGGGCTACAATGACGTCACAAAGCGAGTAGTTTTCGCATGCACCTGGCAGACACTTTTGGCTGAATGAGCAGTCCTATTAGGTTAACTGTTCTTGGACAAATCCAGAAAATTTCAAATCAAATTCAAATGTGTCAAATGAATCGTCAAACAGAACTGTCAAGGATCCCCACCCTAGAGTGCTTTTATGGCGCTTTTTCCGCCCACCATGCATGAATACATGGATAGCATTATGCTCATTCCTTAGTCTTCTTATTCAAAGGTTAGAATAAAAAAACACTTTAGTTTTGCTTGAATATTTGTTTACAGTGCATCTCTAAAAAAACGGCATCTAGCAATGAATTGAAAAATTAAGTGTAAGTGCTCGCTACCGCATGCGCCGATGTCTGTTTACCACTTTGATATTATGTGTCAGATTTTTGTCGGTGATTCCCACATTTTTATATTTTATTTAACAGAATATTTTTTGATTTTAGCTTCTTTCCAACCGACTGATATATCAAAATTACAGAATTTACCGGTACATATTCTGTGTCAAAATCATCATAAGCATGCAAAAAGCCGAATAATTCTATTTTAACATTGTCATAGTATTTTTAATTTTTACAAGTATGTCTCGGCTTCTGGGTGTTTTTGATTCAATTTGGGATATTCAGTTTCAATTTTAAATGTGTTAAACGGTTTTACGATTTTTATGTATCTATTTTTTTATGATTATATCGTATTTTTATTATATCAGTACACCAATACATTCAGAATCGAATATCGATATTTAATAAGATCGATCTTTTATTTCCGATTTTTTTCTGGATCGATCTTGTTATGTCCGATCTTGAATCGATTCAAAATATCGATTTATTTTATTTTTGGGACATCCCTACGTAGAACTAGATCGTAACGGAAATTACGGAGATAGCAGCATTTCGGCGGCTATTTCAGATCACTGGGAGTTAGCAGATATTATTGAGTTAAAATAACAATTTTTTTTAATTGTAAAGAATGTAGCTGCTTTCCATATTTATAGTATTTTTTCTCTTTCTAACGGTATAAAAATACTTATTAAAGTAAAAAATGGAGTTAGCAGGTTATCACGTTTCAGTGACCGACTTATGTTCTTAATTCAGTTTTCTATGTATATTTTAGCAACATTAAATATAATAAGTATATAATATTAATAAAATAGAACTCGCAAAAAATACTAGTACTAAATATACAGTATGTCCCCGGATTGTCTTTACAAGAGTAAACACTTTTTTATTATTGACATTTTGTGAAAATTGCATTCTATATAAAAATTTTTGCTAGTTCTAAAACGGTTAATCCCGTTTATGCTTTTCGAAATTTTCATACCGTTTGAGAGAAAATTAAGGAGTCCTAAAAATCAGAAGGCCGTTTCTATGGTAACAAAAATTCCATTTCATTCTTTGATACATGTTTATTATTAATTTTGATTAACTTTGTGAAGCATTAAACTAAATAAATGTTTGGATGCTTCTTTAACATTTTAAAACGGCAGAAATATGACGTTAATTAAAATTCTATCAACAACCTATCAAAGAAGGAAAACGAAATCATATTATCATAGAAACGCGTTCTGGTAAACCAAAAATTTTTAGGACTTCTTTTAGGAAAAATTCAACTATATTTTCATGTTTTTTTTTAATTTTCTCTAAAACGGTATGGAAATTTGGAAAAATATAAACGGAATTAACCATTTTAAAACAAGCAAATTTTTTTTATGAACAATGCATTTTCTCAAAATGTCAATAATAAAAAAGTGTTTTCTCTTGTAAAAACAATCCGGGGATATACTGTATATTTTAAGAATCTAATTAATATTAATTACCTGGGCAGTAAAATCAGAAGCTCCTCTGGGAGGATTATTTTTGGAATCCCCTGCAACAAATCCCCGACGTAACTCTTTAACCGATACGTTCTTAACATTAAACCCAACGTTATCTCCAGGTACTGCCTCTGGTAAAGCTTCATGGTGCATTTCAACTGATTTAACTTCAGTAGTCAAACCAACTGGTGCAAAAGTAACTACCATTCCAGGTTTTAAAATTCCAGTTTCCACACGACCTACTGGCACCGTTCCAATTCCACCAATCTTATAGACATCCTTTAGTAGTAAATAAAACAATGTAAAAATTTAAAACATAATCATATAATATTTTTACCTGCAGCGGCAACCTCAGTGGTTTCTCGGTAGGTCTAGAAGGAGGAAGTATTGAATCCAAAGCTTCAATCAAAGTTTTACCCTCAGCTTTGCCCTCTTTGCGTTCAACTGACCATCCTTTAAACCAGGGCATTTTGTCACTTGGTTCAAGCATATTATCTCCGTGCCAACCAGAAATTGGTACAAACGGGACAGCAACTGGATTATAACCAATCTTCTTAATGTAAGAAGACACTTCCTTCTTAATTTCTTCAAAGCGAGCTTCGGAGTATGGCGGTTCGGTATTATCCATTTTATTGACACCAACGATAAGTTGTTTAACACCTAAAGAAAAGCAGTTTAATATAGCAGGCTATTCCAAAAATTAATCACTGCAATACCCAAAGTAAAGGCTAACAGAGCATGTTCACGAGTTTGACCATTTTTTGATATTCCTGCTTCAAACTCGCCGGTACCCGCGGCAACTATTAAAACTGCACAATCGGCCTGTGATGTCCCTGTGATCATATTTTTGATGAAGTCTCTATGGCCTGGAGCATCAATGATTGTAACATAATACTTGGCCGTTTCAAATTTCCATAAAGCAATATCAATGGTAATACCACGCTCTCTTTCAGCCTTAAGTTTATCCAGTACCCAAGCATACTTAAATGAACCTTTGCCCATTTCTTGAGCTTCTTTCTCGAATTTTTCGATGGTTCGTTTATCTATTCCGCCACATTTATAGATGAGATGTCCTGTGGACGTGGACTTGCCAGAATCTACATGACCAATCACTACAATATTAATATGGGTTTTTTCTTTTCCCATGTTTATGGAACTGCTCAACGGGCCTAAAAAATGATAATAGTAAAATATAATAATCGAATTTTTCAAACTAACTGAAAACTGACAAAAATTTGCAAACGTAAAAACTCATATTGATAGACATGTCACAGAAATTATGATATTTATCGTAGTCTTCTCGCCCCAGGTTCTAAATACCTACATATACAGGGCGAGTCTTCAATAAATGCAAATATTGTGAGGGGGTATTTCGACCCCAGAAATACGATGATGAAGTTTTTTTCGCGAAAGTTTTTTGAAAAAAAAAAATTTGATTTTTTTTTAGTTTTTAGTTAAAAAACATAATTTCTTGATAGCATGGCAACATAGGTAATAGATTAAATTTGCAAGAGAAAATTCAGAAAAGATCCAGTGGTTCTCAAAATTTTAACAAAAAATCATTTTTTTGGAAATTTTTAAAGTAAAATAACTCGGTTATTTTTAGCGATGGGAACTATCGAATGAATTAGACTATCGAATGGTTACTGAATGAATGATTTCAACTATCGAATGGTTTTATTCGAATAAAATCATTCATTCATTTGTATACTAAAGCATATTATGTGACAACCTCGCCGTACGACTAAATGGTTATCGTTGCGCCACGACTATCGAATGCTTTTGATAAATGAAATTTAGTATTCGTTTGATTTTTGTGTGCGTCAGTGCATTATTAGTTCTTCCAAATTTTTATAACTTCGCCTTGTAAATACTATGCTATTTTTGCGTTTATTAAAATATTTAAAATACTAAAATAGTCGTTTTTTTTTTAAACGGACGATTGTGTGCGAAGTGGTCAAAATTTTTCCGAAAATTTGTGTGATTTTCCGTAGCCCGATCTTTCAATTATTTAATTTTATATGGTATATTATGGTTAGGTTAGATTGCATTTTTTTAAAGGGAAATTTTGAGAAGTAGCAATTTTTAACAGAGATGAGATGAACTTACAATTAATTTTAAAAATACATATTTGTATTTTAGATGTTTTAATAATATGAATTAGTTGAACTTAATAATCACATTAAAGTAATGTGGTTAAGTAAATTGTTGTCGAACTCAAATTTTGGGGTGAAAAAATTAAATTGAAAGTTTTACACGTGCCAATTTAAAAAAAAAGTTAACAATGTTTGTATTTTGTTTATGCTAATTCTCTTACATGTAGTTTTTTGCGAAGAAATATTTCATTTATGTTTTAAAGTAAATGCCAGCAAAAGTAAATATTATTTTTAAATAATAATATAAAGTAATAAAAAGGAATATAAATATTTTTGATTCCTAATTTTTTATTTATATTTTCCTTCCATTACACTGCATGCTTAGAAAATTAATAAATGTTTATATTTCATGATTTTAAAATTTGTTGTTAATATATCAAATTAGTTCTGTAATTATTATTATTTAATAAACCAACGTTGCCATTTAGAGACTATATTATTTTTAAATAGGATCTAATATAAATACTTTGACTTCTATTTGTTGTTTATATTTTGCTACTACTTAAAACAAATGTTTATATTATTAAATGATTGTAAATTTTGTTGTTAATAGGTATAACAAATTATTACTGTTATTATTATTTATTAAACCAGGCTTTGCTTAAAAACATTAAAAATCATTTTCCTACATCCAAAATAAAAAGTATTATTGCAGTGTAACAACAGAATATTAATAAAAAAAATGCAAAACATATAAACATACTACCCCTAACTAACTAATGCTAAAGAATAATATTCTTTGCTAATACCAACTAATACAAATATATGGCAACAGCGACCTTCTTAATATATTTTCTGTGTAAATACTAGCACCTCAATAACTCAATAAAAAAAATGTGTCCTTATCTTTATTTGGCTCCCCAAAAAATCAAAGATGCCGGCTTCTTTCATAGCATTGCCACCGATGGCTGTCGGGTTTCTAGGAAAGAAACCTACGTCGCCGGACGACAACTAAAATCCAGTTTATATTTTATTAAAATCGATCCTGACGAATAAATGAATTTGATAAATGAATTAATTTTATAAATGAATGGTTTTTGCTGCCGAATTACTAGAATACAATATTTCAAGGCAGATGACGCATCTATTCGATAATTTTTATTCGAATAGTTTTCGACGAATGTTTTCTTACTAGCTATCGAATTATTCGAATGAATTACAACTATCGAATGTTTCGATAGTTCCCACTACTAGTTATTTTGGACTTATTTAAAAAACGGTCAAGAGAAAATATGTTTCTTTTATCGAGATCCACCAGCCCTGAAAATATTTGCACTTATTTAAGACTCACCCTGTATAGCAGTTCTTGTTGAAGTTATAAACAGTACTTGTCTGTCATTTTAATTCAAAAGTAAATCGATTTTTGCAATCTTCTAGTGCAGTCTGTCAAAATCGCCCCTTTATTAGTTGGGCAATTTTAGATCGTATTTTTATAAGACAATTAATATTTCAATATATTCGATGCCAATTAAACTTTTAGTTATGTAATCGAGGGCGCGATTATTAAATTCATTGTTGCCAACCATGCTGAATATTAACGGGCTGACTAACTGAAATTTAAATTTCCCGCTGGAGATTCAGGTGGTAGATCGGCTGTAAAATGTCAAGCTGCCATATTTATTTATTTATTTCCTGCCATTGTCGTTCGTTTTGACACTTTAGTTTGGTATTATAAGTTCTTGCATGCTTTAAATGAATTGTGTTGTGATACTTTATGCTTAATTTTTTTTACGATCAGATCTTGCAATCGATCATTGTTCGTATAACCTATATTAGTGCGAAGCAGGGTTGGCATGATATATATCATGATATTTATGCTTTGATATATATCATGATATTTATAAAAAAATAAAACTCAACTCTTTTCTTAAATTTCTACGTTAAAAAAGTCAACATGTTTACGGCACAACGTATTTTTAGTACTTTATGTGATTCCCCGAATTCGTTTCGGGCTCGGCTTCGGTGAATCGGCGCCAACGTGCCTCAGCTGCTCAGCTGCACGAAATAATCAATATTTCTCTTAGTTAATATTAATTAATTATACGAATAAATTAATACTTTCTTATTTTTTGGACTCGTACAATAGAAACTGCGTAAAAGGCTTGTGAATGAAAAAGCTGGAAAATTCACCTTTTTATTTAAATACAACAATCAGAAAGAAAAAAACAAAAAAAGATAATATTTATTGGATCTGGAACAATTTAAATGTAGGTACCATAAACTTTGCCAGAAACAGTATCAATTGATTCTGACTGACGAATCTGAAGATGATTTACCATTAATAAAATTAATAAATCAAATATAAATTTGTTTGTTGATAGTTTTAGAATATCTGTTTATTTTTTTTTGAATTTCCATTTATTTTTTAGAATATCCGTTTATTTCTTAGAATTCCTGATTATTTATTAGAATTTCCGTTTATTTTTTAGAATTTATGTTTATTTTTTAGAGTTTCTGTTTATTTTTTAGAAGTTCTGTTTATTTTTTTAGAATTTCTGTTTTTAGAATTTTTTGTTTTTTTTAGAATTTCTGAATTTTGTTGTAATGTTGTTCCTATTATGTGCAAAGCAACAATTAATTAAGTTGAAATAAAAATATTTGCTTGAGCTCTTGATTTTACTTGGTACTATACGCAGTTTTACATAAAAAATAAAAACAAAAATAAATATCAAAACTGATATATATCGGATATATATATATATATATATTTATATAAATATATATATATGCCAATATATATATATATAGATATATATATATATATATATATACGCATATATATATATAACGGATATTTCATATTTATATAAATATCATGATATTTGCCAACCCTGGTGCGAAGTGTACAAGATAGCTTAATAGCCGTATAAAACTCAACGCAACTTTATTAACGGAATAGCGATACTAATGGCCCTTTATGTCCCTTAAGTGCTGTTAAGAAGGTGAGAGTTTTGCTGATGTAAGTAATAACCGTTTATATATTTATATATTAACATTATTACAAATAAAGGAAAGAATATTTATTTTTATATAAAAATGGGATGTGGAATCCGAGCCCCTTGAGACTCGAGGCAATTGTTCCGCGGAGCCGCGGTGTATACGCCACTGGTTAAATAGACGCCCCAATCCTTTTGATGGTTCGCCAAAGGCTGCGGAAAAAACGGAGACAACGCCGTTCGGCTGGGCATAGGCTCGGCTCGAAGCTCAGACCCCGTCCCAATATGACGAGTCAACCTCAAATCCGCTTGAGGTTGACTCGTCTCGGGTGTCTCTCGCACTCGTCTCGACATATTTATACGCAGCTTTACACAACGAGATCTATCGATTAAATATATTTTCAATATGGCGGCACTTCCGGAAATACCGGAAGTTGGCAGCAACTTTCTTATTTTAAACGGGCACCTCCATTTTTTATTACATACTTAAATTATCTGTAAAATTTTATGAATTTTGATATCAAACACTCTGTACCTAACATTAACCGTTTTTGAGAAAAATAAATATTTAAAATTTTTGGAGGAAAAAAACTGCCTGTCAAAAAAATTTGTAGAGCCTAAACGTCAAATTTAGTGATTACCACAGCCACTGGGACATAAAGAGAAGACATGTGGCTATCTATTTCAGAAATTAAATTGTTTGAATATCATATAATATTGGCCGTAGCTGTCATGAGACCATGTTAAAATAGAATGGGGTTTCCATTTAAAAAAGATCAAGATGGCGTCGTATCTGCCAAAATTGACGTTTTAAAAAATTTTAATGTAGAAAATCGCCATCCTCGCGAAAAATTACATTAAAATATCTTTTTACTATTTTAAAATAGAAAAGAGGAAAATTTTAAATTGGGTGAGACACTTAAAATGATTCTGGAACAATTCATTTTTAAATCCACTGTATATCGAAAACGGTAAGTTTAAAGTATACTAAACTATATATTTCTGAAATTAGCTAATATATAATATATGTCTACCGGACCATGTTAAAATAGGATGGGGTTTCGATTTAAAAAAAATCAAGATGGCGTCGTATCTGTCAAAATTGACGTTTTAAAAAATTTTAAAGTAGAAAATCGGCATCCCCGCGAAAAATTACATTAAAATATCTTTTTACTATCTTTAAATACCAAACAGGAAAATTATAAATCGAATGAGACACTTAAAATGATGTCCCTGTACAAGTTGTAATATTGTATATCCTTGAACTAGAAAATCAAAATTTAATTTTAGAATCACTATTACTTGCTATGCAAACATCGAAAAACAATGTCCAAAATGTTTTGCAATATTAGTATAGAATAATGGGTAGGTACTTGAATGATATTGATAGGTGTGGAATATGTAAGAAAGAATATTATTTGATAATGGTATTAATACGCGTATTAGGTAGGTATGTATTCGTTATAATATGCATTAATATTCGTATAATATAAACAATTATGAAGGTACAAAAGTAACTTACAAAACTTAATTACATTGCTTAAACATTTGGGGATATTAAATTTTACAACTAAAACGATTGATAATTTAAAAACCCATTTGCAATTAAACAAGCAGGGCAGATTTTACATTTATATGATCAATTTGGTGCGTTAAATTAAAAAAAAAATTAAATTAATTTTACACAATATTACCAATATACCATAATAGGGTACATAAACTGATTACTACTACACTACAACCTAATATAATCTAAAGCAAATAAAATTCTCAAAAAACATATTTATAGCAATAAAAGTCATTATGCGGCAACGAAACAAGAAACAATAGAGAAAAAATTATTTCTCGAATTTTACCGGCTACTAACACCATACTAACACCTACGTACATGTCAAAATTTACGAAAAAAATATTCTATGTATGGGAATTTTGCAAAAATATTTATGTATATGGTTTGATTATGTAATGGGGAATAAATAAATAAGGTGTGTTGGCTATTATTTTCCGAAATTCAAACTTACCTGGAAAAATTCAGCTGAGAAGACCACCAAAATGATTAGCGATTGCGACAACCCGACCAGCGGAAATGATAGGGGAATCGTTTGGTAGTGGGGATAGGTATTGATTTATCAATGAAGTGTTTTCTATGTATTTAAATAAGCACAAAAACTAATTTCTTCGCCAAGAAAATTAAACAAACCTGTAATTTACCGTCAAAATCATTTTCCAAAATTATTTGATCTTTTATATTCAGTTCCATTAACCATTACATTTAGGTTTAATTTAGATAATGTTTAAGGGATGAACTACAGCGGGAAATTCAAAACACTATTGATTACTAAATAAAATACGGTGGTATTTTTAAAATATATTTTAAATATAATTACAAATATTTAAACAAATAATAAATATTACTGGGGTTTATTAGGCGACCATAAAGGTAAATAACTAGCCCAAGCTTTAATCCCAGGATCACCTTTAGCAACCATATTTATTTTTTGTGTCTCTTCCGGACTTAATTTAAGAATTGTATTTAAAACTGGAACCAATCGGCTTCTTTCATCCCCACTGTTTAGAGTCAGAAACTAAAAACAAAAAATGCTACATACACACAAATATTTTACCATTAATAGCATACTTTAAATACAACATTTTTTAAATACTCCAAATTTTCGGCATGTTGTTCTCTCTCTAACGATCTCTGATGACGTCTAATTTCCTCCTTTAGTAGTTTGTTCATTTGAACATGTTTTGCTAAATCTTGTTCAGTATCTGACAATAATGCAGTTAAATGTAAAACCTTGGATTCTTGCTCAAGCACTTGTTTTTTAATTACGTTTGTTTCCTCGTCGGTTTTTGAGCCTAAAACAAGTACATACAATTTTAAATGTAAGTATAACGAATTATTGGAACACAAACTTAGCAATCTTTCCAACGGAACTGGGTAGACTTTGCTAGGCTGAACTGAATCTGTGTTTTCAGAACCTTCACCTTCTTCTCTCAACATATTGGGATGAACAAGTGTGGTTTCTACAGGTGAAGCTGGTTTATCATTATGACTTTGTATTTCAATTATTTCTCTATTATGTCGCATCTCTTGTTCAGAAAGTTTTTGACGATAACATTGTGCAAGAGTTTCAGCATGAACCTAGAAAATATATGTATGTCTAAAATTAGTATAAATGTAATATACAGGGTGACTGATCGAAAAAAAAACGGGTCAGCGATGGCTATGAAATAAAAATAGCTGTCATTTTATGATTTTATGTATAAAATTCAGAGTACTTTTAAGTTTCTGATTGTTTCAGAGTGTTCCAAAGTTGATGTTTGATGTTTTTCAGACAGCTTCTCATAATGACATTTTAGTTCCTCTATTTCCTCTTGCAACTCTTGACATTTTTTAAGAAGCTTATTGTTTTCAGATGTCAGCTGTTCATTGTTTAAATTAGCCTTATGCAAATGCTCTCTAAAAAATGCTTCTTTATTAAAAATGTAGTGATTTAAAAAATAGCAAGTTTACTTTGAAACCTGTAACTCATTTTGGATTTCACTATTATATGATTTAATTGTAGTAACCTCTTCAGACAATTTTTCTTCTAGACCTAAATCCCTTGTATGATTCTTTTTAAGTACACTTTGAGCTCTAACTTTATATGTTTCATAATCATCTTTAAGAATCCTTAATTCATCTTCTTTCAAAATTAACTTATCTGATGCTTCTCTTAAACTTTGTTGGAGACTTGATACATGGTTTCTTAATTGATCTCTGTCATATTTAAGACTGTGGGTAAACTTCTGATTATCTGCAATTACCTTAGAAAGTTCAGTTGATAGTTCTTCATTTTCAGATTTTGCAGACTGAAATGCTTTGGTAAGATCCAAAATTTGTGTCTCTTTCTGTTGCACAATGTTTTCAAAATCAATTTCTTTTTTTTTATATGCATCAATTTCTGCAATAAATGAATTGTTTGCTTGTTCATTCTCCTCTCTTTGTCCTTCAAGAGTCTTAGTTTGCTCTTTTAGAGCACTAACAGTCATTTTTTGTATATCAAGCTGTGATTGCAAATTTTCTATATCACTTGTTTGCTGATCAATTTTTTGAAGTAGTTCTTTCACAGTTTTCTCATAATCTTTCATTTCTAAGTTTAGCACTGAATTTTTCTTGCTAATACTAGTAGTTTCATCTAAAAGATCTCTAGTTTGCTTGTGGTTTTCTTGTTCAGTTAATAACTCCTTCCCTTTAATTTCCAATTCCAATTCCAGTTTAGTTACTTTAGACTCAAATGATTTTATTACTAAATTTTTGGCTTCCAACTCCTTTCTAAGAGTTTGTACTTTGGAACTGATTTGCTTTTTCCAAGCTTCAACAGTTTTTTTTTCATTATTTAATTGTTCAATCTCTTTATATAGTGTTGCAGCTAATTCATCTTTTTCAACTAATATTAGCTTGTCCTTTGATATAGTTTCAGCAACAGAATTGAGTTTAGTGATATATTTTTTATTTTCAACATTAAGTTGGTTAAACTTATCTTGCTGGGTGTCAATTTCATTCTGTAAATTCTGAATTGTTTTTAAGTTATTTGATAATTTCTGTTGTAAATCTTCTCTTTCACTTTCAAGCTGATTTATAATACCACTTTGTTCTTTAACTTTACTTTTTAACTTAATAGCCAGAGTTCTAAGTTTACCATATCTTTCTTCCCACGGTCCCTCAAATTCCTTTAAACGGTTACTTTCATCAGTTCTTGAAATTGTAGATGTTGACATTGTATCACTTTCAACATAACTATTTTCTGGAATACAAGTATTTGTTGATATATAGGTAAAATCTTTTTTTATATTCATATTTTTTAAGGATTCATTCTCAAGGGTAAGTTTCTTTATAATACCATCTTTTTCAGTAATTGAATCTACACTTTTATTTGCTTGAGCTTCGTAAAATTGTAATTTCTTTGTAATTTCTTCACAACGCACTTCTAATTTTGATATTATTTCACCTCTTTCCTTTAAAACTTGATTCATCTGGTTCATTTCATGTAACAGTTCCGAATTTTCCCTTTTAAGATTGATGCCGTTTTCGTTACTGGTAGGACCAGAACTAGTAAGAAGTATTAGATTATCATCAGTTTGTGACATTGTAGAAATTTCAGATTTATTTCCTTTATTGAACATTTCTGTCATCTGAGTAATTTGATCCTCCAAATTCTTATTGCTATGTTTAAGTCTCAAAATTTCTGAACTAGATTCTACTGCCAGTTGTTTTTCTGTAGCTAAAGATTCTCGCAGAGTCATATTTAATTTATCGATGTCCTCTTTATATTTTTTTTCTTTTATAAAAATCTCTTCATTAAGGCTTTTTAATTCTATTTGATGCAATAGCAATTGATCACTAAGTTCTTTAATTTTATCTTCCTTATACTCTTTTAAAACTTTATTTTCTGTTTCAAGATTATTAATAACTTTAACTAAATTATTGCTAGCAATATACAGCTGTTCTTTCCATTCTTTTATCTGAATAATGTATGCTTTAAAATTTTTAATTATTTCATTTTTTTGCTCTTTTATTTCTTTTGTATTTAATGCAAATTTCTTAAGTTTTGTATGATAACATTTTAACTTATCCTTTAAGTTTTTATTTTGCTTCTGACTTTCTAATAGTTTTTTGCTATCACTATCAATTTTAACTTCTAAATCTTCAGTGTTTTTAACACAGATATTATCACTAGTTGAATTGCTTTTAGATTTTAAGTTTTCTAGTTCTATAGACAACTGAATGACTTCATGTTCTTTGGAAAGTAATTTATTAGTTAAAGCTTCATTTTCTAAACACATCTCTGAGAGTTTACTTTGTAAATCTGTTAAATTAGTTTCATTTTTCTTTTCTAATTGTAATAACTCTTCCTGTTGTTGCTTACCTAACTTATTCAGTTCTGATATTTGTATTTCTAATGTAGACAAATCAGTGAAAAGCTGTTCATTTTCTTCTGTTAACCGAGATATCTGCCTACAATATGAACTATTTTCAGTTTCAAGCCAATTGTATTTTTCTTGCAATTCTTTGAAAGAACTTATGTCTTTTTCTAAATTGATATTTACGCTCTTTAAATAATTATTTTTTTCCTTTAAATCATTAATTTCGGAAACAAAAAATAACTTTTCTTCAGTAAACTTATCAACGATTTCTTGTGATACTGTCTTTGATTGTTCCTCGTTAAGCCCTTTTAATGTATTATTTTCCTCTTCCAATTCTGCTTTGGAAGCTTTAATTTTTTGCACTAGTATTACTAAACCTTTATAACGTTTTAATAAATCATCCTTTGATAACTCTTCTAAGTTAATTTTTTTATGATCTGTTGGATCCATTTCATTCTCTTATCAGGAGTGTGCTATTATTATTATTATACGTCAGTGTTTTATATTATTTTTGCTTAATTCGACATCACTATTAGCACAATATCAAGATTAAGAAACTTAATGAATATTTATATTAAAATTAAAACAGATACAAAATTAGATTTTGGATTTCTCTTAAATGTCATACATGTGTCATACGCTGACAAATGACAAATGACAAGGACAAGACACAAAACATTTCACAGATACCAGAACAAGACCAGGGCCAGGGCCATGTAAGTGAAATATTAAAAATGGTTCCAGCAAAAGTTTCCCAATTATGACGGATGATGGCGCTGATCGTCAAAATTTTTGGTCAGGGATTTTGCTTACCGACAATACGACGTGAGCTACGACCGAACCAGGACCAATCAGAATGATCAGTCTTTCTTGGACATTTGCCGTGGGAGTGTGTGTTAATTTCTGTTGTGATAAGTGTGGTTGTGTTTGCAGTTTGATTTTTCGGTTTTGATATTATGTTAAAATTAGTTTTGAAGTATTGTATCACCTGTTTTTATGTAATAGTACTTTTTTTAGTTCTATGATCTGATATGTTATGATTTGTTAATGTTTGTTTAACAATGTTATACCAAAAAGAGGTTATACTTAATATACTTATCAATTTGCATAGCCTAACTTTTTTATCAATAAACTTTGTAGATTTTAGATTATTTAATTCCTTTTGTTTCCGTTTGTAATTTTATTTTTAAGACATATTATGTGATTGTTTCACATAATATGTTTTAAAAATAAAATTGCAAATAGCGAATAAAAATAATTAAAATAAAAAAGTGTATTTTACAATTCCCCCCGGCCCCGCACCCCTTTGGCTAACCTATAATGTCAGTTATGTCGAGAGATGGCGTTACGAAAATGGAACCGATTTATTACAAGGAACTTGGGCTTCTTTTTCGTTAGTATATTCTGTGACCAGGGCTGCTATGTGATTGTCGAGATTGTTGTTATTAGTTATGGAATAGGAAACAGAAACATCTTTATGCATTTTTGCTTCAACATAGTTTTTGCTAAGTTTTAGGAAATTAACGTTAAAAACTTAAAGCATATAAATTTTATATCAAATTTAATTTTATTACTTAAGTAAAAGTATTTACCAGAGAATAGGTATTTACTAGTATTTATAATGACTTCATCCCTGGTTACAGCATTTTTCTTCTGTGCCATATTTAACATTTTGTTCTGTGGTCAAGGTCTTTGGTGACCATTTTGGTTTTTTTGACGTTTGTTTTGATTTTTTTAATCGTTTTGTTTGACGTTGTTGTTTTCTTCCTTAGTTTAATACGTGGTTTTCGTTTTAGTTTAAATATATATATATATATATATATAACAATTTATTTATTTACATTTTAAGTAGAATGACTTCGAAACATTTTTGTTTAAAATGGACCAAGTTTCAAACAAGTATATTAAATGCCTTTGAAAGTCTTCAAAGTACTGAAGATCTTGCAGATGTTACTTTAACATGTGAAGGAATTAGTTTAAAAGCACATAAATTTATATTATCAGCTTGCAGTCCCTACTTCCGTACTATTTTTAAGGTATATGAGATTAATGTATGATATAATTTTTTAATGTTTTTTCATTTTAGGAAAATCCATGTTCTCATCCTATTGTCATACTGAAAGATGTAGCCTACATTGATTTAATTGCTTTAGTAAATTTTATGTATCATGGAGAAGTGATGGTTGCTGAAGAACAACTTGCATCGTTCCTACAAACTGCAACTATACTGCAAGTTTCAGGACTAATTAATAATGAAAGTCCGTACTCTGTAAATCGACAATTGGCATCTAAAAAAATAAAATCTGCTCACAGTGAACCCCAAGAGTGCCCTTCCAAAAAAATTAAAATAATTCCAAAATCTGTTAAGGGTTTTAATGAAGAACTTGCACAAAAGAAAATTATTTCACAAAGTGATGTTTTAGAAGATGAAATTGTGAGATCTGAAACTCAAGATGAATTTGATAGCAATAATGAACAACAAGATGTTAAACTGTGTGATCAAGAAAAAATGGAAAATCAAACACAAACTTCCATATTAGAAGCAGCTTTAGAAGTGAAATCAGCAAGCATATTAGAAAGGTCATTGACATCTCAACCTACTTCTGGCAAATCACCATCTTTACCTTTATCGTGTGAAAAGTTGAATATATTGCAAGTATTACCAGATATTTCAATACCTAAGACTGTTTTTATACCACGAAAACCACCAGAAAATGAATTAGAGAGGTTAATTTTAAGGTCATCTTCAGAATCATCCTCGAGTCCATCAGCATTTGATCGTCCTAGTGAATTTTTACAACAAAGTATTAAAATTGAGCATACTGATCAGCATGAAATGGAGGTAAGCATAATGTGTGATCAAGGAATAATAGTAATAATGATCTTATTTCAAAATAATATCTAAATGTATTGGCATACAAAAACATACAGATACAAAATGAAATAGCATCATTACAGTACAAAAAACAGTAAATAAATAATGAGTATGAAATAATATATGGAATGGGTAGAAAATAGAGATAGAAGAGCATAAGAATTGTTTATCCCAATTTATCTGTCACCATATTTAGCATTTTTAATAAAAATAATAATAAATTATAATCTTTATTTCAATATGTATTACAAGTTAACAGATATTCTGAAAGCATGACAATTAAAGGAAATTGTGTTGAGAAAAAACAAAAAAAAGAAAACAAGTAATATATGAATTAACATTATCTAAGATTTAATAACTATCTTTCTATTACTAATAACAACTAAAAATAATGGTAACAATAAATAATAGAAAATTGGGCTATCATAGGTAATTGGGTAATTCAATAAGATAACATGAATGTTGCAAGGAGAAATCAAGTTTATACATCAAGACAAAAAATTTTTAAGTTGTAAGGTTATAAATCTAATAGCTGTTTTTAAAAAAAAAAACAATAAACAATCTAAGGATTATGCAAAGTGATTTGAAAGGAAGCCAAAAATGCAATAAGTTTTTTCTAGGAGCTACCCGAATGCCCGACGCACTATTGTCAGATCCTGTAGAATATACAGGGTGGTCCTTAACTGTATTCCGGAAACTTTGGCAGCATATTCTGCAGATAAAAATAAGTAAAATAGTTTGTATAAATGTATGTCCTAAAATGCTTAGTTTCGGAGATACCGGGTGTAGAAGTTTCATTTTTATTTCGATTTTTTCCAAATAATTTCTGAAGTAACGTCAATATTTGGATGAAAATTGGTGTCTGGGAGTTTTTTGACATGAGAAATTTGATTTTCATGTCAATATTAGGGCTGCACCGAGTACCGAGTAGTTCGGTGCTCGGCCAGAATTTTAACCGAGTAATATGTACTCGGTGCTTGGCCTTCCTCGGCCGAGTAAAGTATAGTAATAGAAACAATCCATTTCTGCATGTCCAAAACAGATAAAAATGAGACTCACAGTGGCAAATAATAAAATAATCAAAAAGTTAACTTTAATTAATGAATTTTAGCAAAGTAATAATAAGTATAAGTAATAACACAAACACAGTGAAATAATAATTTAATACTTATAATCTAAAAGAGGTCAGCACTGTCGCTCATGTTAATATAACTTTAAAGCCCCGTTCTCAGAACAGCGACTGTCGCCAGCGACACGTCAAGAGGACCAATGAGATTTGTACAAAATTCAAACAGCTGTCAATTTTAAATTTAGTACAGCTCCCATTGGTTGTTTGAAATGTCAAACTGTGTCGTCAGCGACACGACGTCGTTCTGAGAACGAGGCTTAAAGCCCCGTTCTCAGAACTGCGTCGTGTCGACAGCGACACTGATTGACACTTCAAACGACCAATGGGAGCTGTACTAAATTTAAAATTGACAGCTGTTTGAATTTTGTACAAATCTGATTGGTTCTTTTGTCGTGTCGCTGGCGATTGCCAGTCGCAGTTCTGGAGAATTGAACTCAAAGCTACGTCGTGTCGACAGCGACACTGATTGACACTTCAAACGACCAATGGGAGCTGTACTAAATTTAAAATTGACAGCTGTTTGAATTTTGTACAAATCTGATTGGTTCTTTTGTCGTGTCGCTGGCGACAGTCGCAGTTCTGAGAACGGGGCTTAAAGGGTATTATTAATTGTTTGAATTATTTTTCACTTTTAAATTAGTTACACATATAAGTTTTGCTTAAAACAAAATCAACGTCGCCACCGCACCTTAAAAGAATCAATTCAGAATCCAGCACATTAGAAATATCAGTTTGCATGGGGAACCACCGAATAAAACCATATCGCCATAAGTAAAACAAACCAGGGCTGGAACTCTGTAACTAAATAGCGATCGGTAGCAATGAAGAATACTGACCTTGGCCGTACAAACTAAACGGCAAGCGACAGTGTTCTTCATCGCTACCGATCGCTATTTCGTTACAGAGTTCCACCTCAGGTCATTGGTTTGTAGTCGGGGAATCCCAGCCCCTCGCCAATCATAGGCAAAACAAACAAGATCATTGGTTTAAGGCCGGGGAATTCAGGGAATTTTAACTAGCTTTCTTTAATGTTAAATTATATATTTATATTTATATTATGTATAAATTATAATATTATTATGTTATGGTGTATAGTATAATTAATATATATTGATAAAGGTCGCATAACTGTTAAGACTATCAAAAACCCGACAATTTCACTACTCGGCGGCCGAGTACTAGGTACTCGGCCATTACCTTTAGCCGAGTACTCGGTACTCGGTCAAGTTAAAAAACAGGGCTCGTTACAGCCCTAGTCAATATGACTCCTATTTGTAGGGGGCGCCACCTACAAAGAGTAATAACTTTTCGTCCGTACCTGTATAAAAGTACTGAGTGAAAAAATATACATTTCCGTGACTTTTTACGTAAAAAATGTCTCTTGGTAAAAATTGCTATGAGCAACCGTTCTCAAGATATTTAGAATGGAAATAATCAATACATGTCATTGTTGACAAAAAATAAACACGTTGAGTAGATAGTTATTTGACTGAAATAATAAATTCGGAAATTTTTTTTATTTAATCCTAAATTTTTCTGCGATGATGATAAAACAGTTTCTGTTGAACTTTTGACACAAAAACATTCCAAATTTATGATTTCAGTCTAAGAACTATTTAGGCAACATGTTTAATTTAATGGGATTAATAATTTCAATTCCAAATATCTCGAGAACCATTACTCGTAGTGATTTTTCCCAAGAGACCTTTTTTATGTAAAAAAATGTCGTAAATGTATATGTTTTTACCATAGATTTAGGAAGAACAGATATCACATTATGCATTTTAACCCGGTCAAACATTCGGAGGTTGACTACGTACTGTAAAAATCAACTGAGATAGAGAAGGCGACATTGCCACATATCAAATTTGCGCTTATCTACTTAGTTTGATTTGCAGAAAAGGTGACTTTAAAACCTTCACCGGATATCAATAAATCTCAATTTCTTAATTAAATTAATAGTTTATTTTTAAAGAAGCATGCGTAATAATATGTTATTAACCAGAGGATATATGCGTTACTAGACATGTTTATTGTTTAATGTGCTGAAACGTCTAGAACTACTGGCAACGTCGCTGCTAGTCTTGCAGAATGAAATGAGCCGTCCGTCCCACCACCCCTCGCGACGGCCTATGGTCCGTTATAGCGTACTACGTTTAGCTTACGGTGTGTTTGAAGTCGGAATCAAGTCCGAAGTGAACTTTTTGTTTTTAGCCACGTGTTCTTTAATCTTTTTCATGCAACGTGCCAAATGTGTTAAATAAGCTCACGGCGCTCGAATTTCAAATCTTTCACAGGTATTGAAAGGTCAAGAGCAGTGCCGTCCCAATAAGGGAGACATTGTGTCAATTTCTAATTATTTAGTTGACTTGATTCGGTAACACTACCTGATCTCAATTGTTACCTGGTCTGCCAGATCATAACAGCCTCTGAATATAACGTATCATTTCAGCCTGAATTGAGTGCTTGAAAGTGACATTTTTCTTAAATTGCGTCGCAGTTTTTGTCATTATACGATATTCCTAAAGGAATTTTGCTTAATAACAAACAAATGCATTCGATTTCTTCGACCCATTTATTGTTTTTTATATACCGTGTCCTTCGGTTTAGCTTTGTACACCGTACAACGGCATCTTTCCTAGAGTTATTTGTGTCTCGGTGTGGGCCACTTTTTAGAATGGGACGAACTATTGTGCTTTATTTACTTTTGTTTTATACATGCCTATTATTTATTACGTTTTGTTTGTGATTTTTTCACTTCAGGGCACAACTGTCATCATAAAACCGCAAGCACATACAGTTCATTAGGAGATTTAATCTGTGCTTGATTATTCGATGAAGCTGGCCTTTGTGCATACGATTTGTAACAAACGTAATAGGCTTACAGGCCAGCACACAGATTTATAATTTTAATGATAATGCCTTTATTGCGAGAGCTGTATTGTCTCATCAGAGTAATAAGAAGATCGAAACAAATATTGTCTTTATATTTTCAAAAACAATTTTTCATTAAATATTGATTTTGCAGTTAACAGCAACACTATTACACAGTCAGCCATTAGTCGATTGCAAATCGTTACTACTCAGTACTATTTTGTGTTCTTTCTAAGATAAAGATAAACTCAAAATCTCCAACGATCATTTGATAACGGAAGTTTAATGTTCTCAAACTGTTCGAAGAAAATTTATTTATGTTAAGTTTTATATCATCTCCACTAAATTTCATGAAAATATTTGTTTGTTGCGTACTTTTTCGAAAATATTGTATTAAAAAATGACTTTAAAAGAAAAGTCAAAAGGACAAGTTATTCCAAAAAAAGGACTGTCCTTTTTCGTGGTGACAGTGGTAACCTTTGAATGGAAGCATCGGCAAATCTGGCCTAACTTTGCCTTGAACATATTCAACTTATGTTTGAAAAAATGTCTAAAAATGTATACCTGATATTTCGAAAAAATTGAAAGAAACACATAGAACCTTAATATAGAACCAGTTTCAGAATTCCAGTCGCACCGAGTCACTGTAACCGAAAGCCAAATTGAAAATCGACGCCGGCGATCTACTTATTATCGTTTCAACATGCAGATGTGGATACATCAGTATTATGACCTGAGGTCAAAATTACCTGACGGCACATGCAGTGTAGTGGAGTGTTTTGCTTACATTTTACTATGTCTCCTACCGGGTCATAATGCGTGCCTAGTTGGGGGGATTTCTCGTCTTTTTCGTTTCAGCTTGATGTTAATAGACTACCATATTTGAATGAGATGTTCGGTCTATCTTTATAATGTCTTTGGTTTTTACCAATAATGTCTTTGGTTTTTACCAAAGACATTATAAAGATAGACCGAACATCTCATTCATAAATACTCGTTGGAAGTGTATCAAACATTCCAATGTGTCAAACAAGGACAGAAAAGACAGAGAAGTCTAAAATTTCCGAGCCCGGCAACTAGGCGCATTTGGATTGTTCTAATGGCCAGTGGCGTATCGTTTTTTGGAAGGAATTTAATTAGTAAAGTAAAAGTAAAGTAATTAGTAAAATTTTTTCATATTAATATACTACATTAACACTTTTTCGTCAGATGAGTTTTGTTATAAGTATCTAATATAATAATATAATTAATATCCCATATATACTTATGTTGAAACGTTAGTAGGTAAACTCGAAAAAAATCGCTCCAACGTTGATTTTCAATTTAAACTTTCAGTTACTTCTATAAACTTTCAGTTACTTTTTAAATATTTATAGGGTGACTCAAGTTTCTGAAACAGTTCTATATTAGGTTTGTGGTTGGTGACTTCTCTTTCAATTTTTTTTCAGAATATGGAGGCAATGGTAAAGCACATTTTAGACATTTTTGTAAACATAGGTGGCCGGGACATATTTTCAAACTAAAGTTGTAGATTTGCCATTAAATTTCCATTCCAGAAATACCTAGGGTTGCCACCTGTCCTTTTTTATAATATATATATATTATTATTTATAAATAACTTGTCCTTTTGACTTTTTTGGACTTAAAAAGTCATTTTTATTTACGTATTTTCACTGAGAAAATTACCTACAGCAAACAGAAATATTCTTTTCGTCCAAATTTAATTAGAGATGTTATAAAACTTATAAATAAATTTGTCTTGTTTTGAATAGGCAACATTATTTAGAACTTCCCGTTTAATCTCAAATGATAGTTTAGGATTTTAGTTTTACCATTTTGGATCTTAAAGAACTTTTCAAAATTAGTAATTAGTAACGATTTAGTTAGTTCGCAACCGATAGCTTCCTGTGAAGTACTGTGTAATAGTTGTTTAATCTTGTTGTATTAATAACTTCCTATACCTAAAATCAATATTTAAATGAGAAAATTGTGTTTTTTTGAAAATATAAGACAAGATTTGACTTTCGGTCTTCTTCTTTAGTATTATGATGGCTCTGATACTTGAGGCAATTACATTTTTAGTCTCTCAATAGAAGGCACTTATCATTAAAAGTATCAAATCTGTGTGCTACAGTATGGGGATTTCTGTCGCATAATAATGAATATTACGTTTATTTACAAACCCATTACTTTTAAAGGTACCTTCATCAGACAATCAACCTTTAGTTAAATGTCTCAATCTTCATGAACTGTATTAAGCATATGTATTGCGGTTTGAATCACCCTGTATGTTGACAAAATATTTTGAAAATGTGCGTTACAATGGCCCCCATCTTATGTAAAAAATTGAAATAAAAATCACAAACCAAAAACGTAATAGGTAAAAAGCTTTTTTGAGGCCTGGGTCACCTGTATATAGATATGTATAAAACTAGTAGCCTAAGAATTATTTACAGTTCGTCCCATTCTAAAAAAGGTAACACACCGTACAAATAACTCTAGGAAGAGGTATTTTGTACAGTGGTAAAATTGTCTAGACAAGGCCGAAGGGGCAGATATAATAAAGCAATAAAATGTGCAAAAAAGGTCGGTAACACCTTTGTTTATTTGTTGAGCAAAATCCTTTAGAATATCGTATATAATGACATGACTAAAATATGACGCAGTTTTAAGAAAAAATGTCACTTTCTGGCTTATAATAAAGTTTCAAATGCAACGTTTATATTCAAATTTGTTATGATCTCTACAAATAGTTAAGTAGTAATTGAGACGAATTATAATTCAATTACTGGCTACTATGTTCTTTGTTTTTAATAGATCAAAATTCAACAAATATAATTAGAAATTATTTTAATTATAAGGGGCTCCCTTGTGGGACGCCTATGTACAATTACGGCGGAAATTTGTACCTACCTGTGAAAAGACAAATTCGGGTAATTTGAGCTTATTTTTCCCCACATTTGACACTGTCGTACCATATTGAAAATTCGCAGATTCAAAAGTACGTTAAACAAAAACAAAAACTACTGAAAAACACTGAAAAGTTCACTTAGGACTTGACTCCGACTTCAAACACACCGTAATCTAAACGTAGTACGCTATAACGGACCAAGGGCCGTCGCGACGGGTGGTGGGACGGACGGCTCATTTTCATTCTGGAAGACTAGCAGCGACGTTGCCAATAGTTCTAGACGTTTCAACACATTAAACAGTAAACATGTCCTTTAATAGTAACGCATATATCCTCTGGTTAATAACATATTATTACTCATGCTTCTTTAAAAATAAACTATTAATTTAATGAAGAAATTGAGATTTATTGATATCCGGTGAAGGTTTTAAAGTCACCTTTTTTGCAAATCAAACTAAGTAGATAGGCGCAAATTTGAGATGTGGCAATGTCGCCTTCTCTATTTCAGTTGGTTTTTACAGTACGTAGTCAACCTCCGATTATTTGATCGGGTTAAAATGCACAATGTGATATCTGTTCTTGTAGAATGTAGAATGTTTAGGAGGGGAGTTAATCACCGCGACCTTATAGATCTATTGTGATATCTGTTCTTCCTAAATCTATGGTTTTTACTCAGTTGTTTTATAATGGTACGGACGAGAACTTATTAGTCCTCAAAATAGTTAAAACCAATGTAGGTCACGCCAAGTAGGAGTCATATTGACATCAAAATCAAATTTATCGTGTCAGAAAACTGCCAGACGTCAATTTTCATCCAAATATTGAAGTTACTTCAGAAATTGTTTGGAAAAAATCGAAATTAAAATGAAACTTCTACACCCTGTATCTCCGAAACTAAACATTTTAGGACACACATTTATACAATCTTTTTTAATTATTTTTATCTGCAGAATATGCTGCCGAAGTTTCCGGAATACAGATTCGGACCACCCTGTATAGTTTATAACAATTTAACTGGACTGTACCAGTCCTAGTAATTCTTAAGACATCTTGTATTAATATCATTACATACTGTTTAAAGACATATTGTTTAAAGTAATGTGTTTATCTTTGTTCTAGATCATATCATGTGATGATTCTGCTTTAAATTTTTCCAAAGCATTAGTGGACACACCTCATCATAGTAGTCAATGTGGTAATTGTCCACATTGTGGGAAGGTATATTCTAACCAATCTGCATTAAAATACCATGTTAGACTGGTTCATTCTGATTTAACAAATATGTACTGTTGTCATTTATGCCCCGAGAGTTTTGATTATAGGGAGGGATATAAAAAGCATATGATTGAAGCTCATTCAGTTCGAAACTGATAAGGTGGATTGTTTTTATTATATATTTTTGTTAAATTTTATATCTTATTTTATTATATATTTTTTACGTTAATAGATAAATTGGTTGGAAGATTATTTTATTTATCAAATCCCTTGGTACACTCCATAGTAACAGCTTAGCACCTTGTAATTTTGAGAGAGCTTAAAGTCTTCTTCACCTTTTATTGTAAATACCTATTAGTTTCTTAAATTAATTTTCTTGGGACAAGGATGGCTCATTACCATAATTGGAAAAAAGCATTTTTTACGAATAATTTGGTACCTTTGATATTTCTTAGTTTCTTTGAATTTTTTGGTACATTTGATATTTCGAGTCAAATTGTCATTACATTTATGAACATGGCACCCTAAATTGTAATTTAAAATGCTATTTTAACATTGAAAATGTTTCTGTTATCCTATATAAGGGAGCCCAAATCGAATTAAAATGCTACATTTGCCACACCATGACGTCATATATACAAGGGTATAGGAAATCTCGGCGCAGCGGCGGCAGTCGGCCAGCGCGCGCAAAAACCATTACATCGCTAATTGTTTATGATATATCTTTATTAGTTTAAAAGCAAAAAATATGGGGTTTGCTTTGGTACCTTGTCAAGACATAAGCGAAACTTTTAAATTGTTTCTTTTTTTCATTTAGGCCTTCGTTTTTCGTTAAATGAAAGTTATATTAAAAAAAGTCTATTTTTAAACCAAATTTTCGCATGATTGAAATGAGGGTACGAGCATTGGTATTTCGGTAACCGTAATTGATACGAACTTGGTTAAATTGGGGCAAAGTTGCGCCTTGAGATGTTCACCAAGATGCCACCCAAAAAGTTTGGTTTGTGAAAATTTTATTAAAAATTTCAAGGATTGCTGAGTTTTTTGCAAAGAACGGATTTTTTTGAAAATCATTTTTATTTTTTCCTGTCGTTACTTTTTAGAAAATCCAAAAGTTAATTGCACATTCTCATAGCCACTTTATGAAGGCTACCTGATAATATTTTTGAGATTCTGAACAACTGATAATTTGTGAGATACTACAGAGGCCAACTTAATTTTTTTAAATAGGGACCTGCATTTTTTATTTCAGATTTCTGAAGAACTCCGTCTTCTGAGTAGAATGATATGCCACACTTATTTATACTTTTCTTTTGTTTAGCGTTTTGTTCCGTGGCTAGCAAACTGTGCGTGATTTTCCGGCTTAAATTTGTCGTTTGCGTTCGAGATCAATAACACCTACATGAAGGAGGGATAGGCGACCAGCGGCGATTTCCAGGCGCGCATGCAGTAAAAGGCTAATTAAATTTACTACGTTTATGTAAGGTTTCAAATAAATGATTTTAACAAATTAAATTAATCTTTTGTTATAAAATAACACTATTATTAACGTTTGACTATTTATTTTTTTTATCTTTAAAAAGTTTAGGGAAGCGGTGCTTCCCCCTCTTCCATGGACCTCACGCCGCTGCATCACAACAATATTTATCAGCGCTAATCGTTAATTAACATTGAATAAGGAAAATCGAGCCAATTGGAAGATTCAAATAAATTATATCCAGGGCAACAATTAAAGATATTATTTTTAATTTTTTTTATTGTGAATTCGAAATCTCTGTGTGCGATTTAATAATATATTATGCATAATATTCATATCGTAGTTATTATAAATAAATTAACTTTTACAAACTAGTTTCTAATGATCTACATGTTCGAAAGGGTTACCACTTACCTCCCTCCCTATTGCACAAGTTTATATTTTTCGTTCAATTTTATTTTTAAATTCTTTGAACTTTCTTCATACTTCCATGCCACGGATGTTCCATGCATTTTGTACTTTTTATTGTAATTTCACTTTTACAAATGACGTCAAGTAATGCCCCTGCCTTCAAATGTCCCAAACCAAAAAAAAAAATTAAGTGTGGTATATCATTGTACTTAGGAGACCGAGTTGTTTTAAAATCTGGAATAAAAATACAGGTCCGTATTTAAAAAAAAATTAATTGGCCTCTGCATCTCACAAATTGTCAGCTAATATGAAATCTAAAAATACTATCAGATAGCCCTAATAAAGTGGCTATGAGAAGGTGCAATTCGTTTTTTGATTTTCTAAAAATTAACGGCAGGAAAAAATAAAATTTATTTTCAAAATTCAGTTTTTTTTTCAAAAAACTTAGCAATCTTTGAAATTAAAAAAAAAATTTGATGACATCTTGGTGAACATCTCAAAGCGCAACTTTGCACCAATTTAACCATGTTCGCATCTATTACGGTTACCTATTGAGATACCAATTCTCGCACCTTGAATTTGTAGCACCCTGTATACGCATTTGAGACTGGAAAGTCGGTAACGAACCAAGCTTCTTTTAATACTCTGTATAAAATTATTCGATATTTACAAGTACTGGCAACAATAACCGGTTTTTCTGTTAAGTAGTCTATTTTCGATTAATCGTTGGTATATCTGACACCGAAAATAGAATTAATTTCTAATATGATTTCAATTCCCTCGTATGTTTATAAGACAAAAGCTTCATATGAACATGGGGTCTAAAAAGTACTTCTTTTCTGATCTACAGGTGATAAGGAAATGATTGCAGGAATTAAAGGAAGTAAAAAATTTAATTTCTATTTTAGTTTTTTTTTCTCAAAAAACATTTTTTTCTTGTTTTAACAAAATTGATCTCTTGAATTTTTCTTAAACATCGGTTTCGAGGAAAAAAAACAACTACATTGCATATCTCAAAATTGCTAGAAAAGGAGCATATCAAAGCGGACTAGTTGATTTTTTTTTCTTGAAAACCGTTTGATATTCAAGAAAAACTCAATAAATCAATCTTATCGATAATAGTGTGGATCGGGTGGCTGACCTTGAAACGAGTTTTTGCTGCATATAGTCACAGACACTACGCATGCGCACATCTTCGATGTTGCCAGATTGCAAGTTATTTTGGAATTATTTTCAGTAGAAAGCAAATATGTGCTTTTCAGTGTTTTTTTGTCAATATATACCGTATGATCGAAATAACGGCATCCAGTTGGCTGGGAAATGACGATTGAGGACATTTCCTATATAAAATGACAACTATCTTCATTTCATAGTCATCGCTGACGCTATTTTTTTTTCAATCATATAGTACGCGGTATATTATTATTTTAATATTTCGCACAACACGTGAGCGCTTATTATGTATTTTCATTGTCAATAAAATTAAATATAAATAAAACTCTAGATTCCTGTAATTAATCTAATTGCTCTAGATTATTATGCTACGTTTAAAAAGTGCTTTATTAGAAATTCGGGAAATTAAAAAAAAAGGAATATGTCCAGGTTTTTTCTTTTTTTTAAATTTTTAAATACTGTAGCATGTCATGTTCATAATAGATTTTTTTTAACATTCCATCGGAGGTCTTAAAAGGCCTTTTAGCCTCCGTAATTAAAATTGTAGAATCAGCTTCAGCAACATTAACAGTTATTATACCTTGTTTAATTCTGCTTATACATATATTGCATTAATTTTTCTGCTACCTTAAGATTTCTCTATTCTTACAACTAATTTATGTGATTTTCTTAGCATATATGATTTATAAACTATATTTTTCCTAATGGAAGGATGGAATAGGATATGCAAAATTAAGATATTTTAACATTTATTTTCCAGACAAAGCATAATATAGTACTAAGATTAAGACATAACAAATATTATAAGAAAGATCTTAATATTAATCACAAACTAAGTCTTAATTTGGTCTTGTATAAACACAGGTATAAAACTAATAAGATCAAAACTCAACCTTCACCATATTGTCAAGATTTGGCATTATAGGAAACAAGAAATTACAGTAAATTAAGAAAAGAATATCAAAATACACGATATTAAATACTGTAATGTATTCTACGACACAAACCATCTCCCTTCTAAAGAGAAAAAGATAAAACATAAAGCTTATTTTAGTCTTATCAACACACTCTTCGATAAAATATATGTCTAAAATTGCTATTAATCCACTAACTTGATATTTTTAAGAAATTATGATACAAACATTATAATCAAAGTATATTATATTAGTAACATTATAGGTAAAATGTTACCTTTATCTCCCATTGATGTGTATTGTTCTATAAGACTCGTCATGGTAGTACTTCAATACATCAATACATATAATCAAAACTATTGTTGCCTGTAAATAACTAGAAATTAAATAACTTGAAAGAAATAATTCTAATAAGTTTAAAACCATTAAGAAAAAATCCGTAAATGATAATTTTTAATTCTAATGTAAATATATAAATAAATGTTATTATTATTACAATTTTATATATTCATAATACTTTCATTTCACAATCTTCATTATCCTTCTTACCTTAATTTTTGATATCAAGATAAATCTGAAATTATAAAATTAATTATAGATTTGTAAGAAACATTTGTTTTTTAACTAAAAATAATTCAAAAATAAACTGCAATTTAGCAACATCGACGATGATGCGCATGCGTAGTATCGATGATCAAATGCAGCAAAATAGCAAGACTTCCAGGTCAACCACCGGATCCACCCCTTTTTGGTAATGGTGATCCGGTGACCTTGAAACGAGTTTTTGCTGCATATAAAATCACAGATACGCATGCGAACATCGTCGATGTTGCTAGAGTGCAAGTTATTTTGGAATTATTTTCAGTAGAAAACAAATAATTTTTAATTTTCCTTCATATGTGCTTTTCAGTGTTTTTTGTCAATATATACCGTATGATCGAAAAACGGCGTCCAGTTGGACTATGGAAATGACGATTGAGGACATTCCTTCATATAAATTTACATAAAAATGACAGCGATCTTCATTTCATAGTCATCGCTATTTTTTCGATCATAGTACCGGTATATTATTTATATTATTATTTTAATATTTCGCACAACACGTGAACGCTTATTATGTATTTTCATAGTCAATAGAATTTGGGCATATTTTTACCAGATTTAGCTTTTTAGAAACGTGTTTTTCTAATTGAACAATGTGCGTGGCTAAATTGTGAATACAAAACCTTAAATTAGAAATAAAACTCTAAATTCCTATAATTAATCTAATTG